GATCATCGACAGCATGCATTCAGACCAGGTCATGGGACCGGTACCTATTTCACCGGGCTCGCTGATGTCCTCCAGGATGCAATGAACAAGAATTTCCACGTAAAAGTTGGGCCAGACTTTTCAGGTAATATAAGGCAACCATCGGTCATCGACTCGCATGGAAGAAACTGGTGTCCCGCAGGGATCTGTAATTGCGGTCACCATCTTCTTGGTTGCGGCAAAATGGGTATTCGTTGATCTCCCAAAAGAGATATATATCTTTGTCTATGCCGACAGCAGCCCAGCCGCTGAACTCTTCATCACCAGACTGACCACTACCTACAACAAATCCATCCGCACTGTAGCAGGGTTGCTCCCTTCTACCCCCGCAGATTCAGCTTGCGTAGAGCTTGAAGTTTTACCATTCAGGTACCAGGTGGCAGAAACACTAGCGTCAAGGACAATCAGTTTCTTAGAGAAAACAACCGGAACTGAAGAGATCTGCCTCCTCAGAGAGGGGAACATACTTCTTGAGACCCTGGCCCATAAGAAACTCCCCCCAGTGTCAGAAGTCTACTGTAACGGAGTCAGGGGATGAGAGGACCCTCCACTTTGCGTCGATTTCTCTATACCCAAGCGCTTCAAAGCCGAAGACAACTCTAGGGAGTCGGATTTGGAATCGCAGACCTTACCGAGAGCCATTTTTTCCGGCTCCCTAACCAATGCTCCGTTGTCTCCGCGGAAACTGCGGCATCCTCTACACTCCCAACAAACAATTCAAAGTCACAAATAAGCATACACATTGAATAAATGCTGTATAACAGTGTACAATGCTGAATAAAACAGGATGTCGAATTATGTGCTGAAAAAAGCTCATTGAGATCGATAGATGCGCTTTTATTCCACATTTTGCTCTGATATGATTAATTTCCTTTTTAAAAGCTTTAAAAACGTTGACTGTCTTCCTTATTCAGGACCAGAAGGTTGATCTAATAACAAACTGAATAAGTGTAATTTGCACATACATTGTCGCTTTTATTCGACCGTTTTCAATTGATTGAATTAAATGCTTTTTTAAACGTTTTATAAATGTTTTCTAGCTCCATTATTAGATTTCTTTGCATTGTTTTACAATATGACTGTATAAAGGTGAATACACTCAGCAAAATAGCTCTTGTACCACCCAACAAACAATTCAAAGTCACAAATAAGCATATATATTGAATAAATGCTGTATAACAGTGTACAATGCTGAATAAAAAGAGTTTTCGAATTATGTGCTGAAAAAGCTTATTGTTCCACTCTGATCTGATTAATTTACTTATAAAAAGCTGTAAAAGTGTTAAATGTCTTCCCAATTCAACGCCAGAAGTTCGATCTAATAACAAACTGAATAAGTATAATTTGTACATACATTGTAACTATAATTCGACTGTTTTCAATTGATTTAATAACATGCTTTATTAGACGTCTAATAAATGTTCTCCAGCTCCTTTATTAGATTTCATGGCATTACTTTACAATATTGCTGTATAAAGGTGAATACAGTCAGCATAATAGCTCTTATACAACTATGTGTCCATGTTGTAATCACATGATTTGTAAATGCTTTATAAACGACGTATTAGATTCATTATTCGACAACACTGATTCAGTCTTACAACAAGGCGAAATCAGTAGAGTAGTGGTTACCGTTTCCGCTTTCCAATTAGAAGGTTGTGAGTTCAATCCCAAGCTCAACCTTTTTTTTATTTGTGTAGAACATAATTAATGTAAATAGTAATATCGATCACATGACTCCCGATAATGAATTGATCTAGTTTAAAATATAACCGAGCATCCTTTCTTTCGACTTGGAGATGTGAAGAGGCAACATTGGTCTCATTTAAAACAACGACGAATGAATTAATCATTCCCACAGGGCCTTGAAGGAGCTAGAGTTGCGATCGGGAGTGCTGACAGGTATCTACTTTCATGCAAGCTTTTATAGATTATTGAGTTGCCCATATGATGAATTCTAGGATAGCTCAGATGACAAGGCAAGCGGCTGGTGATCGGGAAGGTACATGGTTCAAATCCCCATACAATGGCATGTATAAGTATTTAATAAATTTTCTAATATCTGTATGGTGCGAGCCACGTCAGAAATATTGAAATACAATACAATTAAGAAAACACACTGTCCCTGCCCCCCCCCCCCCCCCGTCCTCTTATTTTCGGGTTAATTTTCCCACAGTTGAATAATCGTTTAATAAATGTATAATAATGTCTAATTAAACGTTACTTCACATGAGAATCAAGTGCATACAGAGCATCATTGTTTTAAAGAAGCAGTGATGTCTAATAAACACTGAATAATCAAAAATGTTATCGTATAAACACTGTTACAACTCATATAACTCGAATAAAAGCTTCTCGACATACCTTATAAAAACAACACCAGTAGTTCAATATTGAGGTTGAATAAATTCTCCAGATTTGTGTGAACAAAGCCTGAACAGAAGTTATTATTAAAAATAGTACAAGTACTATTAAGCATGCAGTTGAATAAAATGGCCAAGAAGTCGTTTCTTCAATAGACGATTGTTTGTTGGGATGTTAGTTACTATGAGCGCCAACAAACCCATCTGCATCTTATCAGACTCTGCCAGTGCCCTTTCGGCCCTAGAATTCCAGATCCCAAGGCATCCATGGATCCAGGGGATCAAAAAACAATCGCCATCGAATACAGTTTTCCTCTGGATACCGGGTCACTGCGACATCAGAGGTAACAGTGAAGCAGATCATCTGGCAGCTACCGGCCGTTCTGGCCGACTCTTCAACAAAGAGGTCCCTGGTCATGACATTAAGCGCTGGGTCGAGCTCATTATCCGCGACGCCTGTAACCTTGACTGGACTTCCACAAGGCAATCTTTTATTCAGAAGGTGAAAGGGGAGACTTCCAAATGGTAGGACACTCCAAGTCGACAAGACCAGGTGATATTGTCTAGACTTCGGAAAACTTGCGACACTTGCAACCTTACCATGAAAGTGGAACACGTATTGGTGGATTGCCCAGTGTTCAGCAATTAATCATTTTGTCAAGCTTCTTCATTCATTTTCCATCAGATGTCACTGCTGTTGTTGGCGGTGGCATCTATCGGAAACTACACATAATCTGTTTTCCGATAATTGTTCACAGAGGACAGTGCAGTGCAAAACATGTCTGGTACCTCTATATATGCATTTAGATTAACATCCGAAGTCCTTCCTTCTTTACGCATTCTGCACTCACCCCTCACAGGATTTCCTACCAAATTATATGAATGAGGCGGTGCCCAAAGTATCGTTTGTGCAGAATATGTAAAAAAGGAGGACTTAAAATATTAAACTAAATGCATGTTTTGTAGTGACATGTACTCTATTTTATAATCTGTGAAAGGGAAATCACAAATCGAGTGTCATCAAAATACATGGCATGTTGAGAGATTGAGCTCGTGAGAGATAATTTTCTCTCTCAAATTTGAATTTTTTTAACTCTCTAGGGACTGGTAGGAAAGCAGGTTAAACTGTATGGGGAAAAATCATTTTTATTTGATTGTAGCTTGTTTAACAATAATTTCCGGGAAAAAACTGAACGACAAAGCCCTAATTTCTAATTTCTTCAGGTTTTCGTTCACTTTTTTTGACCTGAATATGCATCGAAAGCGAATTATTCCCACTTCTCTCAATTTATACATGGGGATTTGTATCACTTCCTACCAGCGGAACAGCGCGATCTCTGTGGAAAATGACGGGACGATATGATTAATTGAGAAATGTCTTTACGGTATACCAAATAGCATAAGGAACGCCCTATCGAATGACCCATCAGCTGAAGCAGCGGTCATCTGGTTCATTAAAGACGCCAAACTTTACAAAAGTATTTAATCCCAAGGACTGACACGATCACCAACAACCCGCTATTTACACTGACTGCCGAAACCCTCAACAAAATTTCTACTAGGTATGTAAACTAAGCCAGCAACTATGACACTAGCGTGAATTCCGCTTGACGTAGTTCCTCTGAAGTGAGGAATCCACTCGAACGCTCTTCCCTTGGAATTCGCATTAGACGCATTAGGCGCTGCCATATTGCTATGCGTCGGATCAGTACCGTGTAGGAGCTGGACTTGGAGACAAACGATTCGTTGAATTCTTCAGCAGCTGTTGTCGTACATACAGCTACTGTATGCCTTCTTTCTTCTTCACATTCGTCCTTCAGACGAATTTTACAATGAGGTTGGCCAATCGCTCCGATCCTGAGCTAACCAACTCGGTCCATGCCACCAAAATTTGTTGCTAAGGATCTCCTTTGGTCCAATTCCTCTGGAGATCAAATCTGCTGGGTTATCAGCACCTGCCACGTGTCTCCATTTACAACCATCCGTGATTGCTTGTATTTTCGCCACTCTGTTGGTGACGAACACAGACCAATTCGATGGACATGCCTGGATCCACAGGAGAGCACACGTTGAATCCACCCAGAATGTTGTACAAACTCGAAGATTGGTAGCTGCTTTCACCTTTTCGTAAATTTGGGCGGCTAACAGCGCGCCACATACTCCAATCGAAGGATTGATTGGTGTTTTAGAGGAGCAACTTTAGATTTGGAGGTTAACAGTTGGACCTTGACGTTTCCATCCTTGTCCTGGCTTCGAATGTAGAGACATCCACCGTATGCCTTCTGCGACGCATCCGCAAAACAATGGATCTCCACTTGTACAGCTTGAGGAAGAATTACGCAACGCGTTACTCTGACCTCATTGAGAATCGGTAGTTGCACATAAAATTTTCTCCAGGACTCACCCACCGTTGAAGGCAATGACTGATCCCAATCTAGTCTCTTGCCGTTTTCATCCGTCAGTGTCCATAGTAGCTGCATGAAGATCTTTGCAGTTGTAATAGTAGCACCGATGAAGCCCAATGGATCGAACAGTGTAGCGATGATCGAGAGAACTTGACGTTATGTGAAAACAGCTTCGGAAACATTTGATGTAAATTCAAACTGGAAGCGGAAAACATCGGAGTTTGGAAGCCAAGTCAACCCTAATGCCTTGACTGAAGGATCTGGGTCCAACCTTAAACCCTCGGCAGAACGAATCGCAAGATTGCCGTCGGATATTCCATGCAAGACCTCTGCACAATTGGATGCCCATTTTCTGAGCTGGAAACCACCGCTGCTCGTCATCTTGTCCAACTGAATCTGCAGCTCCTTGGCTTCTTCAACGCTGTCACAACCCGTGATCACGTCGTCCATATATGTGTCTTCCGTAATCGCCTTGACTGCTAACGGATATCGTACTCCTTCATCCATTTCCAATTGGTTGAGTGTGCGAGTTGCGAGGAACGGAGCTGGTTTCGTTCCGTAAGTGACGGTGTTGAGCTCGTAAATCGCTAACTCCTCTGATGGTGAACGCCGCCAGAAGATGGATTGAAGTGGTCGATCCACAGAGAGAACGAATATCTGACGGAACATTTTTTCCACGTCAACAACTAGCAGTATCTGCTTAGTACAGCAGCGCAGGATGATGGATCGAAGGTCCTGCTGGATTACTGGCCCTACCAGTAATGCGTCGTTCAACGACAGTCCCGTAGACGTTTTGCATGAAGCGTCGAACACCACGCGGACCTTGGTGGTGGTGCTGGCCTCCTTCAACACTGGATGATGCGGAAGAAAACAACGTTTGATCGAACCTTAATCCCCTTCGACCTTCCGCATGTGCCCTAATTGCACGTACTCCTCCATAAATGCAACATACTGTTCCCGAAGATTAGCGTCCTTGTATAGCCTACGTTCGGTTCTTTGAAAACGTCGGAATGCGATCTCCATAGACTCGTCCAACCTTGGTATGACGCTTTCGTACTTGGGAAGGGAAACAGTATAGCGGCCGTCCACTTCACGCTGCACCGTACTCGCATACATTGCTTCACAGCAGGTTTGATCAGAGGAATAAATGTTGGTCGATTCTATGTCCTCTATAGTCCAAACCCGGACAAGTAATTCCTCCAAGCGATCCGTAATTGCTACATTGGCGTTGCATTGCAAACTGTGACTGTTATCGGCGAATCCTCCACTAACTACTCAACCAAAAACAGAATCTTGGAGTTCTGGTAGTCGCTCTCCTAACGAAATTTTCCTACCAGAATCGAAGAAGTTGAAGAATGCCTCTATCCCCAGGACGAAATCCACTCCTGTTGAATGACGGATCAGCAAGCTCGATTCCTTCTGGAAGTGTCCAGCTTCTGGTGTTTATTGTAGTGGTCGGTAGATTCACAGTGACCCTCGGCAGCACTAAGAAGCTCATCTTGCGTGAGAAATCCGAAATGCGGGACCGTATTTCAGCCGATATCCGATGTTTGATCTTGGTAGCTACCTGACCAATACCCAGAACCGTAAATATCTACCCTTTGACGCGTGACCTTTAAACGTTGACTAAGACACTCGGAGATGAAATTGCTTTGTGAGCCAGAATCGAGTAGGAATGCGATTGCCATCGTTATCCTGAACGACGACGACTGCCGTAGCAAGCAAAACCGAGGCGTGGCGTGGGTGGGATGCTGTTTGCGCCAGATTGGGGATCGGATGCATTGTTTACGGGAGCAGATGCGTCCCTTCGGAGGAGTAATCGAGATTTATTTTCATCATTTTCCATTTTCCAGAGGGATGACCTCGATCGCAAGAGGCATGTTCCTCGGTTTTTACGGTTAGATTCCTACGATTATGTTTTTTTCATGTTGAAGCATAATGTAAAAAAGGAGGGACTTCAAATGTTGAACTAACTTCATATATAGAGGTACCAGACATGTTTTGTAGTGACATGTAATCTATTTTATAATCTGTGAAAGGGAAATCACAAATCGAGTGTCATCAAAATACATGGCATGTTGAGAGATTGAGCTCGTGAGAGATAATTTTCTCTCTCAAATTTGAATATTTTGGCTCTCTAGGGAGTGGTAGTAAAGCAGGTAAAACTGTATGGGGAAAAATCATCTTTATTTAATTGTAGCTTGTTTAACAATAATTTCCGGGAAACTGTATGACAAAGTCATTGACTAATTTATTTAGGTTGTCGTTCACTTTTTCGACCTGAATATTAACCGAAAGCAAATTATTTCCACTTCTCTCAATTTCTATATGGGAATTTTAATCACTTCCTACCAGTGGAACATTGCCATCTCTGTGGAAAATGGCCGGACGATATGATTAATTGGGGCACCAATATTACCGCACCGTAAATCGATCATAGTTTTACCGGTGACATTCGTTCGTGTTGTACGATTTTGGTGGGTTGTTGGCATTGGGAAGGGTGCTGTTTAAGTGTTTTTATGTAGTGTGAATATTTTTTTGCTTTTATTACTTTTCAAAATTTTCAAAAAATTGTTTAAGTTTGTGTTGGTGCTGCCATGCTGATTGTAATTGGTAAGCTTGTTTCAGTTTAAAAAAAATCCGTTTACTGGCGGCATGACCTCGATCGCGCGTGATCTATTTTGCGGTTTTAGATATAAGATAAGAAATGCGATATTGTCAGTGAGGTATGCATCCGAGTGCAAGAACATAGTTAAGTTTTGTGGGGAAAATACATTACGATTTGTCCCAGGCCACTATTGTAGAAAATTTTACCTGTTAAATCTTGGGTGGAATATTTAGGAAAATAGAGTGCACGCTTGATTAACTGCTTTCGAAAACCTAATTTCATTATAATATCTTGTTTAATCAGGGCCTTAATAATCGTTACGTTGGTCATAGCTTGTTATGATGTAAGAGGCACGATAATCTGCGTAAAGAGCAAATCGAAACATTGAACGTCGCGTGAAAGTGGAACTCAATGAAGGCCTAAGTGCTTATTCGTAGCTTTTAGTTTTTGGAGTTGAAAGATCGTCGGTTGCAGTGGCTTGCTTGCTGATCAGATAAACGAGGTCACAGATCCTTTCATATTAAAGAAATGTATGGTCAAATAGTTTGGTTATCGTGTATTTTGCGAAACTTGTCATCGTCGGTGCCGGTGTCGGTGTGATATGAGAGGCTCGGTGGCCTTAGAGCGATCGTTTTTGCATACTGAGCAGAACATCATGAGTCTAATCTCTGGCCCATACACATTCAAGAAACGTCAAACGCTTTATTTTATGATTTAAAAGTAGCTCGTCTGCCTAGTGGCAAACTGTTTTGCTTACTGAGAAGAAGATCGTGGGTTCAATTCCAAGCTCCTTTGCGTTCCTACCCATTCCTTTCTTGACCTGCATTCGGGAGCGGCCGGTGCTGGTATTGCCTAGTTTTAGATCACCAGTTTTTACACATTGAGGATGATTGCTAGCACAAACGAAGTGACAGACGGAGCGGCTCGAAAACTTTGGTGACTAACCTGCTATTGCAATTTTTCAGTGTACCACATGGCAACACCACTACTACTGGATTGTACCACATGGCAACACTACTACTAGATTGAACTAGCATTTTCACCAAATGTACTAGAATGTTTTGGTTCTATCTCTTTCACTCTACTCAAAACTGAAATGCATAAAAAAATGACAAACTGATACGCACTCTTTGCACACTGTCAAAGAATCATTGTACACAAAATCAACTTTGTTCAAATCAAAACAAAAAAACTAACCCATCTGGTGGATGATGGCACAAACTTCCAAGAAAATTCCATTACAGTGAACCACATTATTTAAATGGATTTCTTCGCCAGTTAGTCGTCTGTCACTTCGTTTGTGATTGCTAGTCCCAAGCATCGTCTATGGGTTCTCTGTGTAATTACAGCTGATCTGGCAATACAAGAGTAGCAACCGTGGGCGGTCAATCAAGCTCATGCTCATGCTCAATATCAATTAATGGTCTTCAATTCAAGCGATTTTTTTTAGTCTAAAACAATTACTTTTGCCTTCAAAAGCTGAAAACATTCAAATCGGTTAGAATAGGAAGATACCGATCAATATCGATTTTATAAAACCTTCGATACCAATATGCCCGAGAACAATCTGGCAACGCTGAGACAGTGTGAGGAGTATCAAGCAATGAACCGAGAATTCCATTGCACTGCACCCGATGGGCGCCTAGCTTTTCCCCAAATATCGTACGAGAAACTTCAAGCAGACCCCAACCCACGACGTACTGCGTCAGCTGTCTGGCAATTCCAAATGTTGAAGGAGATGAAAAATGATATCACTCAACGATCGCTGATAATTGTTTGCACCACCACCGGCCATCCGATCCCAGCGTCTATTTTCGTCCAATCTATCTCTCGTCTGCTGATGAATGCAAGCGGCCTACACGTCTACACTCTATGAGGTAGGTACACAGCAGCAGCAGCAGCAGCAGCAGCAGCGAAGTGTTTATTGCCAACCAAGCCGGCAGCTATCTCCATGTAGCAGCACCGAGTGCTTTACGCTCCAATTGAGCCGTACACCACCGAGGAACTCCTTCAGCATCATCTTTGTAGAAGTAATAAACAGCGATGTTGCCCCATGGTTGATGTGAGAAGCGAGCGAGGAGATACCCCCCTAACGAGATTGCCCAAGTCCAAAGTGTCAGCTGTTCAAGCAGCCAGTTGATTCGTTCGAGATGGCTCTTGGTGATTTTATTATGTGCCCCGCTTTATCGCTGTTGTTTTCCACTGTGCTGGCAGTTTCCATGTGGACCGACCCTACGAGCGAGATATGGCGGTTGTGGAGGTGGATTGTCGCATTCGAGCGGCTCCAATAGAATGTTATTGTTTTACCATCATTGTGCTCCATCCGGCGAATGGCGATTGATGGGAAATTTAATTTAGCCAAGGTCCCCGCTGTTTATCGCATTACCGTCGTCGCAGTAGTTCTACCGGGGAGCCGAGCACGGTTAGTCCATTTCGGTGCCATGACGTCGATGTTCTACTTTAATGGGGACGGAGCTGCTTGAGCCTATATCTAATCTCGCCGACTGACGGCCGCCGCACTGGTTCATGGCTCGCCTCTATCGTGCCTAGGGATTATTCAGCTAAAAAGCTCCTAAATCTTATTTCGTTTGGCAATTTCCTGCGCGCAGGGTGAAATCCAACACGAAAGGCTTTATCTCGGCTGGAGGAAAGAAATATTAATTTTCAAAAAGAGCGAGGCAATTAAATTGACCTCATCGCCCCTCACCTCCCGCGCCACTCGAAAAGATAAATTGTTCTCTGTGCCTGCTGTTGCTGCTGCTGCTGCAGGTTGAAGGGAACGCGAACCGATTACCTACCAAAGTGGGGGAAAGAACACCGACCGGGTTGAGTAGAAAGTGACCGCAGAATGAGATGGAAAACCGCACAGGAAATTCCAGATAGGAAGTTTAATTAAGTTCAAGCTCTCCTACCTCTCGGCTCGGCTCATTATTCATGGACGGAAGTTTGCCTGTGCTGGCACGAAATGCAATGCGCGCTCGTGTTCGTAAATGACTGGCGGTTTGCCCCCAGTAAGACATCAAAGGAGTTGCTCCGTCGAGCGAGAGTGAGTGTGGCTCTCGTATCCGATGGAATTTTGATCAACGAAAGGGAACGTTAATTGTTTCAATTATTCCCGGCTAAATATGAGGATTAATTTCTGTTTTAATTAAAATGCCATTCTTGGGTTTGCTTTCCCAAATCCATTCCGGGTATGAATCAAGAACTGTGTCACCCATAAAATCGCCTTTATCATAAAAATATTGATTTCGTAACGCTTCGGCCACTCTATTGTTCGATTGTTCCGTGCTACCCCCGGAGGGGGCCTCCGGCTTAATAGCTTCATCGTACATAAAACCAAAAGAAAAGCACTATTCATGCTGGTTATATCCTTTTCTTCTCCCAGGCAGGCTTCGAGATAAGAGACAGAAAAGCATCCATTATTATGCACACATAAAACGAACTTGGAAAGACAAAAGACCACACCGAGCAGCAGCAGCAGCAGCAGGCACTCGGAGTCGAGTCATGG